GGGGGGGCGGCGACAGGAGAGAAAGGGTCAGAGAGTCCCGGGACAAGCAAGCAGGCGCGGGGGCCAGGAAAAGAGGCCCTGGGTGGCGGGTGGGGCGCCCTGGGTGACGCGCACGTCGGGGGTACAGAGGAAGGCGCACCAGGCGGAGGTGGAGGGAGAAATGGAACGCGGCCCCTTTAAGAGGCCTTCACGGCGCTCAGGGACCGGGGGCCTCTCCTCCACCCCCGGCCCGGCGTGTGGGGCCCTGCCTTGGGGAGAACCATCCCCAGGCCCGCTCCCCGGAGGCTTCCCTCACGCCAGGTCCCGCCCGGCCCTGCCCCGCGGCGGCGGCTCCTCCTTACCCCGCTGTCTGCCGCCTCCTCCCAGCTCTCAGCGACCTCCTCATCTTCCATCTTACTCGCCGCTTTCCCTCCTCCCCCACCCCCTCCCCGCGCCTGCGCCCTGAAGCGCGCCTCCGTCGCGGGCGCCGGCACGCAAGGCTTTACTCAATGGACCCCGCCCCTTGCCAAGCCCGGAAGAGGCACCAGGCCAGGGCCCACTAGCATCGAGAAAGCCATCTTGGAAAAGGGCAGAGAAACCAGAAAGTTGCCATTTTTCTTAAGGGCAACGCGTTATCTCTCGTACTGAGTGGGAGAGCCCCTGTGAAGTCATCGTCTTGAGTACGGAAAGTGTGTTCTTTGGAGCCATGTTTTCTAAGGGCAGGCAATCACTAAAAACTTTTTTTTTTAAGTGAGTCGTAATCTTTATAAACTGCAGATTACGTTTTCTTCAACGTTCTGAAAAAGTTTTATATCTCACCAGAGGTTGAAAAATATCTGCTGATGCATAAGACATTCTATTATTTCTGTGTGATAGGGTGGAAATTTTTTACAGTTTTTCTTGCACATAAAGCAGTATTACAAGCATCTCTTAACACTCCTTTGGATCCTCAGTAAAACATCGTTAGTTGATAATACTGGCACACGAGCTGGACAACCAGCACTACTAAAGTTCTCCTGAGTCGTTAATAACAGATACATACATTAGCATTTCCTTAAAAGTTTACTTACGCGTCTTCCTAAACGGTATTCCTGTTTTATTTTTCTCCATTACAGAGGTAGAGACCTTCAACTTTAAAGTTCGACTTCGGACGCTTCCAACTCGAACAAGATCCTGTGATCTTAGGTAACTTACGGTGTCTGTGCCTCAGTTTCCCCGAGTGTACAAAACAGAGATAATAGTAGTAGTAGACGCTTCAAAGGTAGATCGTCAGAATTAAACTAGTTACTATGCGGAAAAGCGTGGGACAGTGCTTGACCGGCAGTAAGACTTTCAAAGGTTAGCTATTATCATTATAAGGGTGTCTTGCCTCCCTAAGAAGACTTGAAATTCTCTAATCATCCGTTGTTTCCCAAAACACAAAAACAAAGGAAAAATAAACATCATGTGTTTTTATTCTCACCAATGTGTTCCTATAAGACTCTAAGTATTTAAACCCTGTCATTTGGTAGTGTTGCATTTGGCTGTTGTAATCAAATAGTCTAACCTGGAATGTGTTTCTTCTCATGTTTTTAGCATGCCATTAATCTTTCTAAAGCAACAGCTTCCTGTTGAGAATTTTTGCAATTGTATTCCTAATAATTATTATTATAAAATGCAATCACGTATTAAATGTCACTAGTCCTTAGAAGTTAAAGTGACGTGCTTACTAACTCTCTGGTTTCATGATTTCCTGTCTCTGAAATATGGATCATCTCTGGGTGTGTCCTCAGTCAGTCGTTTTTACCTAAATGCTCATGGTGTGAGCCACCCACTGAACACTAAAGATTCCCAAAGTTGATTTCCAGCCCTGACCTCCCCTGGTGTTTTTGATTCATATAGCTAGGCTTCTTCTTGGCATCTCCACATGGATATTCCACTAGCAGCTCAACTCTAAAATATAACTAATATTATGAACAGCCTGACCAACTTCAAAGTGTTGTCTTGCTCACTGTCTGGAGCTATGTTCATTTTGAATACATTCTTCTGTGAACCTGTTCTCTTAAATGAATTCTACTGACTAAGCCTGGGGGATGAGATTGTCTATCAGGCCTCACGTAAGTCTCTTGGGGTGTGATTAGTTTTCAAGGCAGCGGACACTTTTTTTTTTTTTAAGGCTTTGTAGTTGTAGCATGTTACCAGCAGAGGGAGATAATTCCTTATAATTTTGTTATATTTGGCAATGTGCCTTAACGGAGGAATTAGTTGGGCATTCCTGGGACTGAATTTTCTAGGAGAACAGAAAGATAGAGATCTTGGAGACCATTGGAGGATCCTGCAAAGGAAATAGCTTTTGTTCCAACAGATGGGCTACCAGGAGACCGGCCCTAGTTAATCATATAGGCCCCTTGTGACCTTGGGCAAGTCCCTTCCCCATCTGCAAAATGAAGAGATGGGGCCAAATAAGCTCTAAAATTGAGGAAGTGGGGGCACCTGGGTGGCTCAGTCGTTAAGTGTCTGCCTTCAGCTCAGGTCGTGATCCCGGGGTCCTGGGACTGAGCTCCGCATTGGGCTCCCTGCTCCACGGGAAGCCTGATTTCTCCCTCTCGCACTCCCCCTGCTTGTGTTCCCTCTCTTGCTGTGTCTCTCTCTGTCAAATAAATAAATAAATAAATAAATCTTAAAAAAAATAAATAAATAAAATTGAGGAAGTGGTGGTGGTTTTCTTCCACTGGGGGAAAGCCCCAAAAGTTGAAGTAGAGGCACATATATATATTAGCGGATATCCTAAAACATGAATTTCTCTTTCCTGTGAAATACGTTTGATATACCACTCATGTTTGGGACTTGCATTCAGAACTGCAGGCACATTTGATACACCACATAAAACACTGAGATGTGATAGGAATTAAGATCAAAGCCCAGGGGCACCTGGGTGGCTCAGTCAGTTAAGCATCTGACTCTTGATTTCAACTCAGGTCATGATCTCAGGGTTGTGAGATTGAGCCCTGCATCGGACTCTGTGCTGGTGAGCCTGGAGCCTGCTTGGGATTCTCTCTCTCCCTCTCCCTCCCCCCCGCCAAAAAAAGAGCAAAACCCACAGTGAGAAAACATTCCATCTAATGCACAAGCTGAGGCTATGTAGGCAGTTGTGTTAAGAAATAAATGGCAAAGGAGGAAAGAAGAAAGAAAGAAAAGAAAGAAAGAAAGAAGAAAGAAAGAAAGAGCAAACTTACCAATGTTTAAAGGGTACATGCCTTTTGACCCAGCAATTGCATTTCTAGGAAATTTTCCTATAGATACATTTGCCCATATGCAAATAATAAAAGTACAAAGATATTCTTTGCTCCTTTGTTTATAGTCACAAAACAGTAGAGACAAATGTCCATCTCTAGAGCATTTGTTTAAAAGATACATGGTACTTTAGAATGCAATTTGTTAACAAAATTTTGATGGTCCTAAACATGCTGACATCGAATGACCTCAGAGAATTATAGTTAAATAATAATAATAATAATAATAATAATAAAAGCAGCAAGGTAAAGAGCAACATGTATAGTTTGCTGATATCTGTAGGTTTATTTATTTTAATGTGTATGTGGGTTGGGTTTTTTTGTTTGTTGTTTGTTTTTTGTTTTTTTTTGTTTTTAATTTAAGTAATCTCTACCCCCAATGTGGGGCTCAAGCTCAGAACCCAGAGATCAAGAGTTGCATGCTCTTCCGAATGAGCCAGGCAGGTACCCCCATATGTGTATGTGTGTTTTTGTGTATGCCTCTCTGGAAAGATATAAGGAACTTGTAATGGTTCCTTGTAATGCGTCACTTCGATGGAGGAGAGAGGTTGCTGGGGGACTGGTAGGATGGACGTAATTTTTATGTGTCCTTTTGTACCTTTTGAATGTTGTTCTATGCTAATAGCTTACTTATTCTACATGAGCATATACATAAGAAATGAACTTCACAATTGATTATTGGAATAGACTCTGGAGGAAAACTAACTTTTCTTTTACACTTATAGAGAGGTGACTGCCGCCCATCTCATCCAAGCCTCATCTTTTGTTGGGCTCCCTGCTTCGCGGGAAGCCTGCTTCTCCCTCTCCCACTTCCCCTGCTTGTGTTCCCTCTCTTGCTGTCTCTCTCTCTCAAATAAATAAATAAAATCTTTTAAAAAAAATAAAGATTTTGTTTATTTATTTGAGAGAGAGAGACAGATAGTGACAGAGATAGCAAGAGAGAGCACAAGCGGGGAGGAGAGGGAGAAGCAGGCTCACGATAAGCAGGGAGCCCGACGTGGGGCTCTATCCCAGGACCCTGGGATCATGACCTGAGCTGAAGGCAGATGCTTAACCGACTGAGCCACCCAGCCGCCCCTCTAAAATACTATTTTCATCATATATCCTCCCTGTCCCCAAATCTCCATGACCTAGAAGGTAATCCCCAGTTTTCCTGATGATATTTCAGATCATATATAAACTGGCCTCAATCTTATCTCCTCCTGTTTGTCAGAAGGAATATTGCATAGAGATTAATACCATAGGTTTTGGTGCTCATCATCACTCATCATCAGGGAAATGAAAATCAAAACCACAAAGAGATATCACCTCACACATGTGAAAATGGCTATTAACAAAAACACAAGAAAAAACAAGTGTTGGCAAGGAAGTAGAGAAAAGGGAATCCTTGTGCACTATTGGTGGGGATGTAAATGGGTGCAGCCACTGTGGAAAACAGTATGGACATTCCTCAGAAAATCAAAAATAGAACTACCATAACATCCAGCAATTCTACTTCTGGGTATTTACTTGAAGAAAACAAAAACACTAATTCAAAAAGATATATGCATCTGTATATTTATTGCAGCATTATTTACAATAGCTAGGATATGGAAACAATCTAAGTGCCCATTGGTGGATGAATGGATAAAGAAGATGTGATATATTTATACAATGGAATATCACTCAGCCATAAAAAAGAATTAAATCTTGCCCTCTGTGACAACATGATGGACCTACAGGGTATTATGCTAAATGAAATAAGTCAGAGAAAAAACAAATACTGTATGATTTAACTTATATATGGCAACTAAAAAAACAAAACGGGTGCTTGACTGGCTCAGTCAGTAGAGCATGCAACTCTTGATCTCAGGGTTGTGAGTTCAAGTCCCACATTGGGTGTAGAGATTACTTTAAAAAATAAATAACTAAACTTAAAGAAAAAAAAACCCAAACCTGAAACAAATGAACAAACAAAACAGAACAGAAACAGACTGATAGATACAGAGAACAATGTGGTGGTTGCCAGAGGGAGGAGGTGGGAGAATGGGTGAAATAGGGGAAGGAGATGAAAAGTACAAACTTCCAGTCATAAAATAAAAATAAATATATAAATATAAATATATAATAAATAAATAAATGAATAAAATAAAAAAGACAGCTATGTACAATGGGATCATGTAATCACTATGTACAATGTACACCATGGGGAATATGGTTAATAATATGTAACAACCTTATGTGGTAACACTTGGTAGATATGTCTGTGGTGATCACTTTGAAATGTATATAAATATTGAATCATTATATCATTCACCTGAAACCAATATAATATTGTATGTTGAACTGTAGTTTGCGTGGCTCACTCGTTAAGCTTCTGCCTTCGGCTCAGGTCATGATCCCTTGGTCCTGGGATTGAGCCCCACATCGGGCTCCCTGCTCCGCAGGAAGCCTGCTTCTCCCTCTCCCACTCCCCCTGCTTGTGTTCCCTCTCTTGCTGTGTCTCTCTCTGTCAAATAAATAAATAAAATCTTTAAAGAAAAAAAGTTCTAGAGATGGATGTTGGTGATGGTTGCACAACAATATGAATGTACTTAATAGCAATGAATGCTACTTCAAAAGGGTAAGATAGTAAATGTTGTTTGTTTTTTATGTCTATTTTATCACAATAAAAAAGTTGGAAAAAATAATGAACAAAATTAATAATAATAACAAAGTCTTTGAAGCAAAACCACTTGGGTTCAAACCTTTGCCTGTGATCCTGGGTTGAGCTAGTTAATCCCCGTGTGCCTCAGTTTCTTTTGCCCTTTTTTTAAGATTTTATTTTTGGGCCCCCTGCGTGGCTCAGTCGTTAAGTGTTCTGCTCGGGTCATGATCCCAGGGTTCTGGGATCGAGCCCCACATCCGGCTCCCCACTCTGCGGGAAGCCTGCTTCTCCCTCTCCCACTTCCCCTGCTTGTGTTCCCTCTCTCACTGTGTCTCTCTCTGTCAAATAAATAAATAAAATCTTAAAAAAATTTTTTTTTTATTTTTAAGTGATCTCTACACCCAACATGAGGCTCAAACTCACAACCTGGAGATCAAGAGTCACATGCTCCACCAGCTGAGCCAGTCAGGCGCCCCTCCGCAGTTTCATCATCTGCAAAATAAGCACAATAATGGCACCTACTTAGCAGTTTGACACATAATAAGGGCACACAATAAACATCAGCTATGATTATTATTAAAGATTTTGCTTTAATAATAATACTGTCATGCTTATCACAATTAATAATTTTATATTGGCTTATTTACTTGTTTATTGTCTGTCTCTCCCAGTAACTCTAGGGGACGTCTACGAGGGCACGGGGCTTTGTTAGTTTTATTTAAAAATGTTACTATACATATTACATGGTTTGGCACATATAGGTGCTCACTAAATATTTGTTGACTAGATGCCCTCTTAGTTGTCAAATTCCCAATGTGTTCACTTATTCAACACATATTTAGTAAGTCTCTACTGTGTGCCAGTCTCTATATTAGATGATATAGCAGTGAACAAAACAGAACTATCTGCTGTCTTTGACTTAGGTGATTGAGTGGGGGAGTGGTTCTATATTTGAACTTGTTCTAACATGATCCAGCAGTTCCAAACCAACCTGAGCATCAGAAGTCCTAGAAAGTTTTAGATTTTATTTTTTATTTATTTGAGAGAGAGAATGAGAAAGAGAGAGCACATGAGAGGGGGGAGGGTCAGAGGGAGAAGCAGACCCCCTGCTGAGCAAGGAGCCCGATATGGGACTCGATCCTGGGACTCCAGGATCATGACCTGAGCCGAAGGCAGTCGCTTAACCAACTGAGCCACCCAGGCGCCCACCTAGAAAGTTTTAGAAAACGTCTGAGGTGGGTGGGTGGGGTCTTAAGGTGGGCCCTGGAACCTGCATTTTTAAAAGGAAGCCTTAATAGTTGGTCCAGTGTTTCTAACATTGAGCTCTATAGAGTATTTTGGTGGGTGGTGGGATTGGTCACAAGCTCTATGGCAATTTTTATGTTTGGGGTTTTTAATGACAGGATTTTAATATTTCTTTTCTTTTCTTTTTTTTAAATTTGACAGAGACAGAGAGAGCAGGAACACAAGCAGGGGGAGTGGGCGAGGGAGAAGCAGGCTTCCCGCTGAGCAGGGAGCCCGATGTGGGACTTGATCCCAGGACGCTGGGATTATGACCTGAGCCGAAGGCAGACGCCTAACGACTGAGCCACCCAGGCGTTCCAGGATTTTAATATTTCTTCTACCAGTTACAGTTGTCAAGTTTCTCTTTCATAGTGACATTTCCTAACTGAAAGACTTTGAGTTTCTTAAATCAGAGTTTCTCATACTGGGATTCCATGAGTATATCCCCTGGGGCCTCTGCATTATTCAAGTTTGAGGACCACAGATCCAGTGTTTTCTGGAGTGAGGCTGACCCACGTCTCCTCAAAAGCACCTTGCCCTCCCAACTTGAGAGGGGACTTGGGTTCTGACCCAGACCTATGTCCCAAGAGATACCCCAGAAGGTCGCCTTTATTCCTGAACGGTGGGCTGGCAGCTGAAGATTGCTTCAGTTTCAGGCGCAAATGGTGAAGACGGAAGCCCCTTGAGCTCTGTATCTCTGGCATTTCCTTAGACCACTTGCTGTACTCATGAGTCCATGAAGATTCTCACCTACACACCAGGTTTCCCCCTTGAAAGGGGTATTTTGTTGGACCCCGCCACCTGGTGATAGTGATACCGTAAAGTACCGGAGCTTGGGAATCATATACGCCTAAGTCCAAATTCTGCCCTGTCTCCCCCACCCCCATCTCGCCCCTCAGATGTGTGGGCTTCGGGAAAATATACTGATAATACTCTGCGCCTCAGTTTTCCTCATCTGAAAAATGGAGCTAGTAACAAGTCACACAGTGGTTGCCTCCATTAAGAGAGGCTTCGATTGCACAATCAAGGCACTGAGTTTCCCTTCTTCAGTTGACGTCCAAGAGCACTTCCATTCACCACAGCCCTCCCTTGTGCTCATCAGGCCCCCGGGGGTCCAAATGAGTTAGAGTTAATTCCTGGCCCTAGGTCTATACAGTCTCAAGCCATTGGAAAAACTGCCCAGTTGCCCCTAGGCCTAAGTGCAAAGGAGGGTGGGTGCAGCCCTGAGGTCGGTTCTAGGGACTCAAGGAAGGCGGGCGCAGAAGCGCGACGTTTCCCCACTCCAGCTTCACTGCCCGGGGCGGCGTTCCAGCCTCTGCGGAACCTCTGCCTGGGACCACGTCCCTTCCCAACATGGCGCCATCCCCAGGCCGCCTCGCGCGGGCCTGCCGCGCTGACGTATGTGCGAGCGCGCCCTCCGCGCTGGACCCCGGCGCATGCGCGCTCCGCGCTGTCTTCTCCCGACCAGAGCAGCAGCGGCGGCGGCGGCGGCGGCGGCGTTTGAGTGGAGGAAGATGGCGGCTCCGGGCGGCTCTGGGTCCCGCCAGCTGTAAGGAGCCCCAGGGCGGCAAGCGCCGCTTGAGGCGGAGCGCCTCTGCTCTGGCCCTGTCCCCGGCTCCCTCATCGCCGTCGCCAGCGGAGCGAACCCGAGAGCGTGGCGCGGGCTGGGCCAGGTGAGGCTTCTCCCTCTCCTGGGGCCGCGGCGGGGAGCCGGCGCCTTTTGCCCTTTATGCCCCAGGCCCGCAGGGGGTAGAGGGCGTTCCTGGCCCCGCGCAGGCCGCGCATCGTGCCCGGGGGTCGGTGCCGGCTGGCCTGGGGGCCTTGCTGTCGTCATCCTCGGCCTCTCTGGGTTAGGCAGGGAGGAGGAGTGCCCCTTTCCACCCAGCCCTTGGAATGGGAGTGAACCCGGCCCCTCTCCTCAAGTAGGGCGGTTCATATCCCCTCACCGGGTCCACGAAAGGGTGTATGACTAGGGCAAGGATGGCTCTCAGAGTGTCAGATATCTATCTTTCACCCAGCCTCCGGATCTTTAACGTCTTGGGCTGAGGAGCCGGAGTCCAGTGCCTTCCAAAATTGGGGCTGCGGCGAGGGGCCAGCATCTGGGAAGCTGTAGCTGCAAAGGGGAAGATTTTGGAATTGGTTTAAAAAATAAAACACAAGCAGTCTGTCTTACCGCTTAGCTTTTTGAGTGTTCCTCCGGCCAAGTGGGACCTGCGGGTCTCCTTGATTGAGACAGCAATCCACGTTGTGGCTGTGAGAATTGTTTGTGCAAAGGGAACGGTGGAGGGTGGGAACGAATTTGTAAACGGAGAAAAACCGATTCTGAGATCTTGATAGTCTCTGCAGAGTAACTTCGGTGCAAATGAAGTCTTCGTTTGTTTGAAAACCTTTGTGTTTTTGAGATTCGGAATAGCTAATTGCTTTTATGTTAAATCTCCCGAATTTAATTAGGAAAATAAAAGCTTTCCTTAATTGCCAAAGTCTTTGGGCTTTTCTGTGGTGGGATTCTGATTGCTCAGGGTGAAGATTTAAGCAACTTACCAGTTCTCACTTGCTGGCAAGGACATTCTACTATGCTTGTTATTCCTTTTTGAGAATAAGTTTTTGTTGTTCAACTGCTAATTGGGAGGTTTTGATTTCGTTTCTCACGTTGGGAAGCCGGTTTGAAGCCTTGTGATGTCTTCCTTGAAGAATGATGGAATCAGTTGGAATTGTGCTATGGGGGAAATGTTGAGGCAATGGCTTTGGCGTGGACACACCGAATATCTTTGTAACTTAAATTTGTTTTCCTTGTGCTTGCAATGGTGACGACATGGGTTTAAAGGGAGAAGGAAATTAGAGGAGAAATACCATCATTTTGAGTTGAACATTTAAAATTCAGTCTGTAGCTTTTACAGTGAATAGTGACTCTGTATCAAATTCCTAACTATTGAGCATATTCATGTGTATAATCTGATTGGGTGTCCTTTCTATTGTGTGTTGTCATTTTATACCCTGTAACTGTTTGCTTTTGACAAACCCAGTATAAATCTATTACTCAATCAACATTGACCAACGGATGTTTTGTCTGCTTCAAAAAGCTTTTAATTGTTAAAATGACAACTGCTTGGTTTAATAATAGCTAATTCTTTGACCTTTTCTTAAAGCTTTTCCCATAGAGATTTATAGATTTTCTTAGTGCCTTTCATAAAGATGTAAACCTGAACAAATAACTTCACAGAAAATTGGAGAGCCACCTTAAATTTCAATTTGCTACGAATCATGAAATAATGCAGTAAAACATCCTGATGGTTTGACATTATGCTTCTTGGCATAATGTGTTGCATTGTTGTGCTAAATCATCATCAGGTATTGATGCAACTTCATGACATCAATGACATCATTCACTCTCTAGCATTTTGCCCTTTGCAATTCCTTACTTTCTCAGAGTCACAAAAAGAACAGGATCAGGAAAAATAGCTTAGGATGCTCCTTACTCTCTGATTTCTTAAAAGAGCCTTCATATAACACTGCTTTATGTAGTTAAACTCCTGTAAGATTCAGAGCTGTGTGTGATTCCTACCTATTATGAAGAGCGGGCACAGAAAATGCTAGTAAAACCGCTGGGTTTTACAAGAACATTGAGGTCCCAAGGAGAAGTTATATCAAAGATGAACAGATAAGTGATTATCTTTTGTGATTTCAAGGTCGTTTTAGTGAATTAGCAACTCTTTACAAAACCAGAAGCTGATTAATTAATGCCTTTTCTATTTCAACATTGTTACATGGGTCAAAAGAGGTAATGTTTTGTGAGAGTCCTTTGTAAAATAACAGGTAAGTGTAAGGTTGATTATTCAACGATCAGTTTTATGAAAACCCCCTACTGAGGGCCCTCTATATACGCTGGGAAGTAGGTACTAATGATTCTAAGATAAGACACCTTTTGGTCTCAAGTTGCCTAGTCTGGTTGGGGAGCCAGACAAGGAAACCAGTTAAGTATGTTATAGTGTAAGAAGTAAGACGTGCACAGAATCCAACCAAGGGAATCAAGGAAGGCTTCTTAGAGCCAGGATGGCTTCACAGCCATTCCTATTCTGCAGAAAAATCTGCCTTTTGTGAGTGACTTGCTTTTTATAAGAACTTAAAAAAAATTTTTTATTTTTATTTATTTATTTGACAGACACAGTGAGAGAGGGAACACAAGCAGGGGGAGTGGGAGAGGGAGAAGCAAGCTCCCCACTGAGCAGGGAGCCCAATGCTGGGCTCAATCCCAGGACCCTGGGATCATGACCCGAGCCGAAGGCAGACGCCCAATGACTGAGCCACCCAGGCGCCCCCCCCCAAAAATTTTTATCATGAGTTCTTTCCCCCTTTTATTCATTCACTGTCATGACACCTCCCACACAGTATGCCCCAGTTATGATTTCTGCATTCTCAAAAATCCAACAGTCTTGGGAGAACCTGAGAGTGAGTCATATGCCAGGCAACAAACAAAAACATTGCAGCTGCAATGAAAATATCTCAGATTACTAAATGGTGACAACTTTAGGCTGATGATGTTTTTGTTTTTGTTTTGTAAACTGGCATAAGAAGCAACGTATGATTTTAATTTGATCACATTTAGTTAATGCTTAGTTGTCAATCCCTTAGAATGTTGACTATAACTAGTTATTAGTACTGTCTGCTTTCTCCCAATAATCAAACAAGACGGTCTTTTTTCTTTTGGGTGAAGCTGACACTTTAAGCCAGGACTACACTATTTTATAGAATCCATTCATGTAGATAAAGGTTGCTTAGCATCTCTGATATTGAACTTCCGTATCCCAATACAAGTTCCTCATCTTAGTGCTGTGGTAGTTTTATAATTAATTTAGCATGTTGTCGCCTATATTGCAAACATTTTATGAGTTTTTGGATGTGTAGAATCTTTATGGGGTGCAATATTAGTAGAACATTTACAGTTTGGTAACACTCATGTTTACATGTTACCATGTAAACATTCAACACTGAAAATGAGGGCTTTAAGGTGTTGGTTGACAGAAAAATCAAGGTGATGTGTCTGTTTATTTTCCTATATTGTGAGTTTGTTACATATAGAAGGATATGACATATAGACAAGTCATTTTAAAATTGCCCAGTCTTAGGGTACCTGGCTGTCTCAGTTGCAAGAGCATGTGACTCTTGATCTTGGGGTTGTGAGTTGGAGCTCCATGCTGGGTGTAGAGATTACTTAAGTAAATAAATAAACTTAAAAAAAAAATTGCCCAGTATTGTGCTCATAATTCAGCTTTTCTCTTTCTTTCTTTCTTTCTTTCTAGACTTATTTATTTATTTATTTGAGAGAGAGAGAGAGCGAGCGCGTGAGTGCGGGATCACGAGTGGGGGGTGGGGCGGAGGGAGAGGATCTCGAGCAGTCTCCCATGTGGGGCTTGATCTCAGGACCCCAAGATCATGACCTGAGCCGAAACCAAGAGGTGGATGCTTAACTGACTGAGCCACCTGGGTGCCCCCAGCTTATTTTCTAAGCTGTTTTTTGTGACCTGGGGGTGCTGGCTGGCTCAGTTGATAGAGCATACTACTCTTGATCTCCGGGTTGTTGGTTCAAGCTTACTTTAAGATTTATTTATTAGAGAGAGTGTGAGAGAGAGCGCGTGCGTGGGAAAGGGCAGAGGCAGAGGGAGAAAGAATCCTCAGTCAGACTCTCTGCTGAGCACGGAGCCTGACACGGGCTCTATCCCTCAACTCATGAGATCATGACCTGAGTTGGAATGACCAGTCGGTCACTTAACCGCTGAGCCACCCAGGTGCCCTGAGTATAGCTTACTTTAAACAAAAAAAGTGTTGGAAGAGGAAAAAAAAAAAAAAGAACTAAATTGTTTCTTGTGACCCTCTAAATGTCTTGTAAAATTGCAACTTAGTGGTATTCCTATAGCTTAAATTTGCTCTTCCTTACTCATGGTTGTATTAGAAAGCAAATTTGCTTTGAAATTTGATTCTTTCTGTATTAAATTTCTACTTTTTAAGTTGTAAAGTTTTCCCCCAAGTTTTTATTTTTTTCCAGTGTCACTGTTCTGTGTTTTGTTTCCAAAGTGGAAATAATCTTGTGGTGCTTTGATGCTTATTTATATATATAAATCTGATAAATGCATAGGTATTATTAAAGTAGTAGTCACTTGTAAATTATTACTACAGTAACTTATTCTCTAGTAATACATAAATTTGAGGTAGTTCAGTTAATTTCTATAAAGGCGAACAGGTTTTAGTTTCAGCTGTTATTTTTTTAGAATATTTAATATTTAGGATACTTTTTTTTTTTTAAGATAAGCTGTATGTCCAGTGTGGGGCTTGAACTCAAGAATCCAAGATTAAGAGTCACATGCTTTACTGACTGAGCCAGCCAGGCGCCCCTATTTTGAATACTTTTATTTCTACTCTTTTAAGGAATTCACTAGTAGGGCATACTTTCCAAATTTGTGTTTCCTTTATTATTCTCGCTTTATTAATTTTTTAAGATTGATTTATTTATTTTAGAGAGCTAGAGAGCATGCATGGGTGGGCAGGGCAGAGGGAGAGGGGGAGAGAGAATCTCAAGCCGACTCTGCCCTGACTGCAGAGCCCCACCTGGGGCTCTGTCTCAGCACCATGAGATAACAACCTGAGCCAAAACCAAGAGTTAGATGCTTAACCTACTGCA